ACAATCAACATACACCGAACCCAACCGAAAACCATGACCACGAAACCGTGAACTGATCCCAACCGTGGATTTTGTGAACCGTTCCACCCCTAATATATATATATATATATATATATATATATATATAAACAATAAAAAAATAAATAAAAAAACTAGCTCAGATTCGGTTTGGGAATTTAGGTCAGAAACATGAACTTGCAGGAATTTTGATTTTGATAACTTAATAAACTCAAATTAAAGACTGTATTCTTCTGCAACTGCCAGTTGGTCCATGTAGATACGGTATCTGTTCTCACTGTAGCTACGTATATGCTCATCAAAGAACACGAATCAGCAGATTAATGACTCAATGCAAATCTGCTGGGTTTCCAAATAGAAAACAGATTTGAATAATAATCTAAACTTGGCTGCTTTGTTGACAATTAGGATCAGTAGGAATGTTTTTACTTCACTTGCTTCTGTCGGTATACTTGGCTTGAACTGACTCTTCAAGGCAAAGTGCCCCATTTATTTTTACATTTTATGTGAGCGATTACTGCAAGAAGAAGCTAATTTAATTCAAGATTTGTTTTGCATCTATGTACCAAAGGTAAGCAGGAAACTGTCATAAGATCATAGATCTGTAGAGGTTTCTATGCTTTAGATACCAGTTTGTCAATTGATGAAATAACTTATTTCAACAGCTCCATGGTGTCTGACCACTGACCTAATGTAATTTGAGGACGCTGGGCTAAAGGTTGGCTGATATTAATAAAAAAACTATAAATTCAACTCATATATAGCCATGCCTCTTCCGTTGAATTACCTCCAGCCAGTCTTTAGAGCTGCAGTAGAAAACTTAAAGCTGAAGTCTGTAAGTTTTTAAAAATCACTTTTTTGTCATATTGGCTAAAATTGTCCCTATACCCAGACAGCAGTACATGTGATATGTAACCTGTGAAAAAAACTGCTTCAATTGGTACCGCCTACTGCCTGTATTTCAATCTGGAAAGAATAATTCGGGACGAGTCAAAACAACCAATCACAGCCAGAGGAGCGTCTGATGGAGTGTCAATCACAGCTCACACACGCTGAATCCCCCCCCCCCTTCTGGTCGCATGCGGTAGCCGCGCAGATGCTGTGAGAGGGGTGGAGCTTGGAGGTGGGGCATGAGTGAAGCAGAGAGGGTGGGGGAGTGGCGTGAAACCTGTTTTTCTTCAAATTTTCAGTCGAAGTCTGTTCTCTCCTCAATGTTACAGACTGCTAACCTGACAACAGCCAGATGCATGTTTCACTCCGCCTAGCTCCGCTCACATACATCTGGGAACCCGCCATAGGAATTACCTTTACTGAAGGCTGGGCCTTATCAAAACTCCTTGCATATGATTGGATAAGCCACTTGTCTGTCATCTTTATTGACGTGCTATTTCAACCACTCACACCGAAGCTAACCCGTGACGCTGTGAGAGGAGGAGCCATTTGGTAGATCAAGCTCTTGCCAAATCCGGTCGGGAGAAGGGCGAAAACATCGTTTCCACCAACAAAAGCCTTCAAAGCCGTTCTCTGATGTTATTTTAATTAAACAATATCAGATAGATTGGACAACACAGAAGAAATAGCAGCATCAATGCTAACGCTTGCTTCCTCAATGCGAGCCGCCATTGTTGTTGGAATCTCACGGTCGCTTCTCCACTCCAGGACACACCCACCCTGCGTCCTGATTGGACAGACCATAAATTCGGTTGGGGAAATCACTTTCAATGAGCGGGTTCCCAGATGTATGTGAGTGGAGCTGGGCGGAGCGAGACATGCATCTGGCTGTTGTCAGGTTAACAGACTGCAGCTTTAACAGAATTAATCTAATAAATTAGCCTACATGCAGACAAAATTACTTTTATCAAATTGTTGAAAGTCATCCTTCCTGAGTTATTCCTGCTTCTTCTGTAATGGTAAAAGGTTGGAAGTTAGGAAATTTTTAAGGAAAAAGATCATCAACAGGTTGCTATCGAATTAAAGACCTTTCAAACAGAAAGTGACGAAACCCTAAGCTGATAATTACAATGTAATTTATTAAAGGGATTATTAGTTATTGTGGTATTGTCTCATGACACTTGAACCACCAGGTTTTCAGAGGTAATATAGGTATCCATAACAAGCGTTTACATTGACTTTAACATTGACTGTGACTTTCTTCATACTTTTTTTTTCTTTGAAAAAAATCCAACTAATCCATCCAATCTAGTAACTTTTATTTTCCATATGTTAAAGTGTTAGAACATAATAATAACATTTATTTGATGTTACAAATTGAAAAATATTCTGTTTTTGTCCATCAAAATAAAACCAACATATTTTTATTAGCATTTTTCTTAAAATGGGCCAAAAATAATTTTGATGTACTGCTATAACCCTAATAAAACACATCTCAAACTGAGACATTTTGCTTTGTCCTTTTCAAAGTCTTAACAACAAGACAACCTAACAAAAGATGAGATGAGATGAAATTTGATTAGTCAAGCAATTAAATTGATTTTAACGAATTATTGTTTTTTTTGTTTATACTTTTAAATGTCTCAAAACAAATAGAAGTCCCTTCACTAAACTTGTGGTAATGTCAAAACTTTTCTTTTTCTTTCCTTGGGTTTTTTGGTCAAATGCTTATAAAACCCACAGCCACTTTCCCTAATGCTTTCCCACAACAAACCTTTTTGAAGCTCAAATTTATACCAGCTCTAAACAAAACTACACTGATGATAAACATGATTAGTGTTTTCAAAGCAAATGCAGCACTTTGCTTTCGGTTTGAGCATGGTTAAGTGGGTTTCTCTTGTGAACAATTAGCATATCTGTTCACAGCACTATGGCTGTGCCCTATAAAGCAGATAACAGAAACATGCACATTAGCACTGCTGAGGAGCAAAATAATAATAATTAAGGTTATACAAACAGAAATGAACACAACATTAATATGTTGAATCATTAAATGTCAATTATTCAAAACTGGCTTTTCTATTTGGTTCTAAAGTAGATGAATAATTCTGAACTTTCTTTGCTAACAGAAAAGATTGTCTGAGTCATTCTTTAAAAAAAAGGTACTGCCAAGTAGAAATAATGACTTTATGTCTGTCATCGCATTGTTTGGTCACTGAAGGCATGAGGTCTCCCTCACAGTAACCTCAGAGGTTGCTCACATAATTGCTGAATATTGTATTTTTTTGATTGGTAACACATCTCACGCCACCCAAAAGGGAAATTGGATTTCAGAGAAGTGAAACATAACCAAGCTAGATATGGTTTGAGGCAACCAAAGCTGTGTTTGCATATATATATATATATATATATATATATATATATATATATATATATATATATATATATGTCTGTCTATGACTAGCTTTAGTCCTTTAACTATTTAGGGCCAAACAACAAGTTGTTTTGGAAAACTTGTCATGAGTTAATTTGCACTTGTGCTTGAAGGCAGCCTCAAGCATAAACACAAATGACAAGTTGAAAATTTGTGAAATAGAAGCTTTATTTTATGTAAGTCAAGTATTATCTCAAAATAGCGATTAGCTCATAATCACATCAGAAAACAATGGCAAGAATACTTATTTAGCTCCCAAGAGTTAATGCTAATACGACTCCAAGTATCTTTGGGTACAGAAAGAGGATCTCCTACAGAAAGAGCCTTTTACCCATTTTTGTTGCCACAACACAGTCAGCTAAGTTAGGATGGATAGTCTTTGCTAAAGACAGTTGTCAAGTCTTTGCTGGATTTAGGTGAGAGCCTGTGATGTGAACAATTCTATCACATAAATATATTTTGATCGAATCCTTTTCAATGTGTTTTTGGTTCTATCCTTGGAGCAGTTATCCTACTAGACAACAAACCTTTTTTAACCTCTTAAGTCTTTGTCCAGCCTCTGATTGTCCAGAATTGCCTTTCATTTAACTCCATACATTCTCTAATAAACTCTTTCTTGACCAGTCATGCAGAGTGTTAGTTTTTCACAAAACATGAGCCCAAATTGTTTCATTTTGGACCTATTTTAGAGTGTGGAAAAAACTGAAAGATGGACATCTAAGTGCTCTTCACTCTTTTATTTGTGGAGTGCAAGAATGATTGTCTTGTCCTGTCAACTTATTTCCCCCCCTGACATGTGGCCAGTGTGGCTGATCTGGTCTTCTTCATGCCATTTTTTTCCCCCAGAAAAAAACTCCTTCACAAAAACACTTATCTAATCTGAGATTAAATTAGTTTTACAAGAAAGCCCCAGCAATGCATTTGGGTGCATTGGATTGTATTTAGGGAAATCAAATGCACAGCATACATTTAGGATTTTTAAGTTGTAAAAAAAAGGTAAACTACAGGTTTCGTGTTTTTCGAAAAAAAAGTGCTACTTTCCCTTGTCCTCTCACATAAAATCCTACTAAACTACATAGAAGTTAATTGTAATGTGCCAAAATGTGGAAAAAAATTACGGTTGAAAATATGCTTGCAAGATAGAATAGAGATAAAACACAAATAAAATTACTATTATTTACCCAGTTATATATAGGACATCTTCAATGTATTATTTTTATGTATATTCTGATTTGGATTGTAATTTAAATATTTGTGACACAGAGAAAGTGGAAGATTGAAAGCTTAGAAATAGCCTGAAGCATTTCTATCTGCTCAAGAGGACATCTAAATTAAACTACATCAATAATGCTGGAACATCGGCTGTTTGAGTGTGACTTTCAATAACTATCCTATATCCCTTTCAATTTATGAAACCAGAACGGACAGTTGGATAACAGCACTAGGGGAAAGATCATGGGAAGAGTTTGTGTTATTCATCTGGGGATAATAAATATGTATCCAAGAGGTTAAGACAATTCATCTGGTGGTTATTGTGACACTACTGCCTGGAGCCTAGAGATGATATTATTTTCCCTGCATAAATCATTGTTTAGTGTGGCTAAATCCAAACATGATAAATCAGGAGAACAGGAAACAGAAAGGCAAACAAACTTACCGATGAACGACGTTTCTCCCAGGTACCCTCTCCGTTGGAGCACCACCTCCAAGTATTTGGCCTCCTCATCCACGACAAAATACTCTTTCTCCAGAGAGATCCAGGCCCAATCCAGATGGAACTGCTGTCCTTTAAGTGAATTTCTACCTAAAAAACGATTTAAAAAAGCAACAAATCAAACTACGTTTTTCATGTGTAATCTATTAAAGTGTTGCTTCAGCCATCTTGTAGAAAAAAAAAAATCTCAATTCATCTCTGATTATACACTCTAATATTTGCTGAGTTGAAAAGAACATTAGAAAAATATGGTAGGTCAGGTTAGTTAAGTAAGTTAAAAATAATGACTCATGTCCTGGATTACAGAACAGTTTGGGTTAAAATGTATTATTTCTATAAATATTTTGGGTCTTCATTGTAACATATTATGGCTAACTAAGACGTATTAATGTCAGGAAACTGTAGGGCCTCTTTCAGTCAAAATTAGGTTTTTAAACAGGTTAATTGTAATAGTTGGAGCTTCAAGAAAGGAAATAGCTTTTGCTCCCATATTTTCTAGAGTTTTGATTATATAAAAACTTGAACAATTGGTAAGATGAGTTTGTTGTGAAAGCTAGCGATAAACTCTCTGTATCATCCGTTCCTCTTCAAATCTTGGCATTTAACTGATAAATGACCTTTGATTACCTGCTGGGATCTTAAGTACCTGGCTAAAAATACTTTATGTGATATAAAAGCCAGGATCTCTCATCTCTTATCTTATCCACTTATTTAGAAATACACTGTGGTGTGACTTTACGAACCCAATTCCTATACTTCAGTATAGAGTACCTCCTGTCCCTTCTCTAACGCAAAAAGTAGAGTCCAAATTCAAAAATAAAGACCAGTTTAAAAAAGCTAAACTTTGACCTGAACAACATTAACTCATTCGCTGGGAAAAAATAGCATGTCAGCACACTTTTGATCTATATTTCTGATGTTTTTATGGTTATTTTAATATGACAATTCTTTAAACAAAAGCTGCTTCAGACATTCTGCTTTAAATAGCAGAAAAATCATAATAATAAAATGTATGACTCAGGTTGATCACTATGAGAATGAAGAGTAAATCTTAGTACTTTGATTTGCAGTCCAATTATGGTATAAAGAACTTCCTCTAAAGACAATTGTGTATACTCATCAAAAGAATAACAAATGATCCTATACAATTTCCGGTGCTGGGTGCTGTTAAACTTTTCTTTATTTGAGTGAAATAATCATCCAAAGGATTCAAGCATGCCTACCAATCAGTTTATCTCTGTAAACATTGGAAGAGTAAATATATTTCTTTTTCCCACTAGGCTAATAGAGCAGCTCGATAACTGTCACTACAAAGAGTAGGCAAGAAGGAACTGGTGCTTTGAGAATCTAATTTTACAACCTACACCTCAAAGTTGGTTAATCAATAGAAAACATAAAAAAATCCACTATAAGGATTGATTCCTCAATTGTTTTTTAAAAGCTTCTGTGTATATAAGTAAACAACTCTTTTTCATTAAGATAGAAAAACTAATTTGTTAACACCCTTACAGTTTGTTTCCCTTAAGAAATGATTGCTGGATTGATTACAAGCACTGCCTGGATTGATTACAAGAAAGCTTATGACTCAATGCCACACACTTGGATCATTGGATGCTTGATCCAAGCATCAACAGGACTTCATTGCAAAACTAATGAGGTTGTGGGAAACCACCCTTGAGTCCAATGGCAAGATACTTGCACAAGTCTCCATCAAATGTGGCATATACCAAGGTGATGTGCTGTCACCACTGCTGTTCTGCAAAGGTCTGAAACGCCTCAGCCAAATAACCAACAAGACTGGCTACGGGTACCGACTTAGGAATGGGGCCAGCATCAGTCACCTCCTCTACATGGGTGACATCAAGCTGTGCGCTAAGAATAAGCCAGACATTGACTCACTGATCCATACCACCCAGATCTCAGCACAGACATCGGGATGTCATTCGGACTAGAGAAGTGTGGTTGGATGGTAACTAAGAGAGGGAAGGTAGTCCACATAGAGGGCGTCTTACTCCCAGAAGGAACAATATCAGACATTGAAGACAGCTACAAGTACCTTGGAATCCCACAAGCAAATGGCAACCTCGAAGAGGTAACAAGGAAAGCAGCTATGGCCAAATACCTCCAAAGAGTAAGACAGGTCCTAAGGAGCCAGCTCAATGGCAACAAAATGTCTCCGGTAATAAATAGCTATGCTCTACCAGAAGTCAGATACCCTGAAGGAATAAGCTGGCCAAAGGAGGAGGTACAGGCCACAGATGTTAAGACACTATCCTAACCATGCATGGAGGGTGCCACCCAAAATGATCGTGAAAGCCACTATTCAGGAGTAAACGTCCAAGATCCATTAGTACATCAAGGACAAGGCTCCAACAGACGACTTCCCCACTGAATGTCTCAGACATTGGGGAACAGAAGATGAGGTGTCAGACACTCCGTCATGGGAGGATAAGCCCCTACACGTGATGTACCACCGGAACATACAGTAATCGAAGTGCAGATATCAGGAAATCCTACCAATGGCTAGACAAAGCCGTACTGAAGGACAGCACAGAGGCACTCATCATGGCTGTACAGCAGCAGAACCTAAGCACCAGAGCAATAGAGGCCCAGCTCTACCACACCAGACAAGACCCCAAGTGCAGACTGTGTAAAGAGGCCCCTGAGACAATCCAGCACATAACTGCAGGGTGTAAGTTGCTGGCAGGGAAAGCTTACATGGAGCGCCATAACCAAGTGGCTGGAATAGTGTACAGGAACATCTGTGCAGAGGATGGGCTGGAAACTCCAAGGTCAAAATGGGAAACACTTCCAAAGGTGGTAGAGAATGATCAAGCCAAGATCCGGTGGGACTTTGGTCGGTAATGGCAAACCAACTGGACATTGTGAAAGTCGACAAAAAGCCGTTGTGGTTGATATACCAATACCAAGTGACTGTAACATCAGGAAAAAAGAACATGAAAAACTAGATAAATACCAGGGGCTCAGAGAAGAGCTGGAGAAAACCTGGAAGGTCAAGGCATCAGTGGGACCCATGGTCATTGGGGCACTCGGAGCAGTGACCCGTTATAGTTATAGCATAACTATGATACATATATAAATAAATGTTCTGTGAAAACATAGACATTTGATTAAATGGACAAAAAAAACATCAAATGAATAAATGCAATTAGTAGTTAAATAATGCAATGACATACAAATATATATATATATGTATTTTAGCTTTTCAGCTTTATTTTCAGCTTTATCATTGCATTTTCTTTATGTATATAAATTATTTTATTTTTTGGCTGTTTTATTTTTTATTTTGTTCATTTCTTCCAGCCTATTTATTAGCAGATTTAGTTTGAAAGCAGTGATATAATTATTTGTTGAATGGACACTCTGACAGAACATGTGTTGCCTGAACACATGGGCCACTGTAGATGTTTGTTATTCTCAATCATTCCCCACAGAATCTGTGACCCCTTCTTCGGGGTCGCACATTCTGCGCTTCAGCAAATTCAGTTTCCATTTATTTCTGACCAGCTATGAGAAAATAAGGATAACTTTTGTTAAAATATGACAGAAATATACCATTAGTGGGTTACAAGCATGGACAGTTCTAGACAGGGGCCAATAGGGACCAGTGAACCTGTAGATCAGGTTCTGGCCCCTCTACTGAAAACATAATAAATAGATTTTTATTATATGAGCTCAGAGAAGGGTTTGAAATTGACTGGTCCATTGGACCAATTGATTTTTTTTACCATTACTGTTTACCTTAACCAGTATATATTAACTATGGTGTGCAATATTAAGCTTTAGCCATATTAAAATGGAATTGCAATTTTTACCTTTTAGATCAGGGGTCCTGAAGGTAGAGAACCTTCGGGGGTCACCAAGTGGGGGGTCACGAGATGGTTTTTGCAATCACTGTAATGGGATTTCTGAGATATATATGGAGGGCCAAAATATATAAACATGAATGTCCAATGAAATAACTAAATGTTCAATCAAATAAGCAGATGCAACATTTAGTTGTCTTTAATACATGATGGAAATATGAAATATTCCATTAAATTGCAATATGCACAATTAAATTATCCATCCATTAATTTTCCATCACGCTTGTCCCAAGCGGGTTCCGTGAGGGATGCTGGTGGTCTCCAGCTGTCTGTGGGCGAGAGGTGAGGCACAACCTGGCCAGGTCGCCAATCCATCGCAGGGCAACAAACAGACAAAGAGGACAAAAAAAAAAAAAATCACGCACACACATAAGGAGAATTTAGAGAAGCCAATTAACCTAACAGTAATGTTTTTGGACTGTGGGAGAAAGCCAGAGTACCCGGACAGAGCCCACGCATGCTAGAACATGCAAACTCCATGCAGAAAGACCCAGGACCAGGAATCAAACCTGGAACCTTCTTGCTTCAAGGCAGCAGTGCACACAATTAAATTATGTATTTATTATTTGAAGACTGACAGAAGACTGCCTTGGTGTAATGGCTCACTTAATATACTAAACCAAACACTGATGCCCTGTTTTTTTGTTATGTATTTTTTCTTTTATAATGTGTTCCCTTAAAAAAAACACTGTCTCCACCTTGGCCCCTGGTTCATTTTGGTGTAAAACCACCTCTGGTTACAGGACAAGATCACACTACAGAAGGATTGTACAAAAATTAGGATAATCCCAAACTAGACTGATACTGTATAAACTTTAATGACAGGTCCTCAACAAGTAAACAGCTCTGTGGTCATTTCCAGATAATACTACAGAATACACTCTGATTGTCGCATCTTTAGAATTCCTCTGCTGCAAGGTAGGACTGAAAAATTCAATAATCCATTCCATATCCACCCACAGTTGCGCTTGAAAGTTTAAATACTCTTCTGTTAACAGAAAAAAAATCAGCTGCCAGTGAAACACATTAACTTTACAAAAGTAATAATAAATACAAATAATAACAAATGGAAACTGTGACATTAATTTTAAATATATATAAAAAGAACAAAAATTTTGTTGAGCATCACTTTGAGGCGATCAATGAAATCAGGTGTTTTCTGTAATATTCACAAAATGTTCAGTCAGATTTCTGCACCAGTTC